TCTACTTGTATACAGATTGTCAGATATCAGCGCTGAATTTAATATTTTTCGAAATTTGGCACGTAATGGGGGGGTATTTTTTTTACTTGATCATTGAGGTTCCTCTTTTTTTCTCGTCTATCTCGTAACTATAGTCTGATTGGAGATTTGTTTTGCAGCCATGAATTTCTCTTAAAGTGTTCTACTTTTGTCCAGAATTTTAGATAGCAGGCTGAAATGAATATTTTTTCGAAATTTGGCAAGTAATAGGGGGGTATTTTTTGTAATTTCATTAGATGAAGTTGCCTATTGTTTCTCGTTTATCTCGTTAAATAGTCTGATGGAGTTTGGTTTGCAGCCATGAATTTCTCTTAAAGTGTTCTACTTTGTCCAGAATTTGATAGCAGGCTGAAATAAATATTTTTCGAAATTTGGCACGTAATGGGGGGGTATTTTGTAACTTGATCAGTTAGATTCCTTCGTGTATCTCTGGTTGGCAGCAATAAATTCTCTTAAATTGTTGTATGTTGTATCCAGAAATTTCAGATATCAGCGCTGAAATCAATATTTTTCGAAATTTGGCTGTAATGGGGGGGGATTTTGTAACTTGCTAAGTTGAGGTTCCTTTTGTTTTTCTCGTGTATCTCGTAAACTAATAGTCTGATCGAGTTTGGTTTGCAGCAATGAATTTCTCTTAAAGTGTTTCTACGTTACAGAATTTAGATAGCAGCGCTGAAATAAATATTTTTCGAAATTTGGCACGTATGGGGGGTTATTTTGTAACTTGATCAGTTGAGTTCCTCTTTGTTTCTCTTCTATCTCGTAAACTAATAGTCTGATCGGAGTTTGGTTAGCAGCAATGAATTTCTCTTAAAGTGTTCTACTTGTATAGAGAATTTCAGATATCTGCGTTGAAATTAAATATTTCGAATTTGGCACGTAATGGGGGGGTATTTTGTAACTTGATCAGTTTGAGGTTCCTCTTTTTTTCTCGTCTATCTCGTAACTATAGTCTGATTGGAGATTGTTTGCAGCCATGAATTTCTCTAAAGTGTTCTACTTTGTCCAGAATTTAGATAGCAGGGTGAAAATGAATATTTTTTTCGAAATTTGGCAGTAATGGGGGGGGGTAATTTTGTAACTTGATTAGATTGAAGTTCCTATTTGTTTCTCGTTTATCTCGTTAACTAATAGTCTGATTGGAGTTTGGTTTGCAGCCAATGAATTTTCTTAAAGTGTTCTACTTTTGTCAGATTTTTAGATAGCAGGGCTGAAATGAAATATTTCCGAAATTTGGGCACGTATTGGGGGGGTATTTTGTAACGTGATCAGTTAGAATTCCTTCTTGTATCTCTGGTTTGCACCAATAAATTTCTCTTAATTGGTTGTATGTTGTATCCAGAATTTCGATATCAGCGCGAATATAATATTTTTCGAAAATTTTGCATTTAATGGGGGGGGGATTTTTGTAACTTGCTAAGTTGAAGGTCCTTTTTTTTCTCGTGTATCTCGTAAACTAATAGTCTGATCGGAGTTTGGTTGCAGATATGAATTTCTCTTGAAAGGTGTTCTACGTATACACAATTTCAGATAGCAGCGCTGAAATTGAATATTTTTTCCGAACTTTGGCACTATTGGGGGTATTTTGTAACTTGATCAGTAGAGGTTCCTTCTTGTTTCTCGTCTATCTCGTAAAACTAATAGTCTGATTGGCGATTGGTCTTGCAGCCATGAATTTCTCTTAAAGTGTTCTACTTGTATCCAGAATTTCAGATAGCAGTGCTGAAATTATAATTTTCGAAATTTGAGCGTAATGGGGAGTTATTTTTTTACTTGATTATTTAGGTTCCTTTTTGTTTCTCGTCCATCTCGTAAACTCTTTCGTCTGATTGGAGTTGGCTTTTTACCTATGTATTTCTCTTAAGTGTTCTAATTTTAAGCATAATATCTATGAAGAGTTGACTACGCCAGAATTAGAATAAGAGTTTGAATTATATTCAAGTACTTATATGTTGATATTGATTGAATACTGGGCAATATAAACTTTTTTATTGATATTTGAAAGCAGCGTGATTGTTTCCTTGAAATTACGAGAGGTTTAAAAATTTTTTTTTTTTCGTTCCCTTATGCCCAATTTGGTTTTTATTCTTTGTTTGGGAGATACCTCCAATGTAAAAAAAGTGTTAATTGATAACCACCCAGTTCTTTGATCCTAATCTTTTTTTGGGTGGATTATCGACCTTTCGACTTCTCTCGACCTTGGTCCTATTGCCTTTTCTTCACAACCATAAAGTTACATATTGCAATGTTTAAACATCAATATAAGTAAAAATGAGAATCTGGATTTCACGAATAACGGTGAACCTCGTAATGCCATTTTTTACTCGTGCCTTCAATTTAGTCTTGCTGTCACATAAAGCTCTGTATCTGTCGAAATTCCTTTTTTGCGCGGGTCGTTATGCTTACAATTTAACATTGAAATGCAGTGAGGTTGAATGAGGGTGTCGAAGGCCGTGCCTTCATGCAGCTTCGCACCTTGTACTAGTAGACAATTAAAGCGCACATGAGTACGCTGCTCGTTCCTAAGTGTAGGGAAGAGTGGGGGCCGACCGTCTGCAGAGGGCCTTTTGTTCTCCTGCTCAGTATCGCTGCGCTTTCGCGGGAAGCTGCGCTGGAACATGCAGGGAGGCAAGCCCGTCGCCCTACTTACAACTGGCGACCAACCTGCTCTTCCCCATGTACCAAGTGGCAGGCCTCGAAGACAAGAACAAGGTAAGCTTTCTCCGATCTGCCTCTCTTTTTGGATGTATAAATGTTGAGCCTTGTGTTTGTCGAACGCCTATAATCAGAGTGTAGAGTGTGGCGGGTTAAAATTACATTATTAATGTGTTTCCTAAAATGAAATTAACACATAACTTATCAATATTGCTTTCTAAAAAAGTATACTTTATAAAAACCGAATATTGAATGCCTTTTGAAATATTCATTTGTATGAAATTCATTTTAGAATAATAAGAACTTTTGGCATTTTTTTGTGAATGTGGTTTACTCAAGATTATTGCTGTATTTGTCAATGGCATGGAATTATCTGTGGAATATTACAATCATAATATTCTTTCTCTTTATATGTATTATGTTATTTCTCCTTCTCTCTCTTTTTCTCTCTGTCCTTCTCTCTCTCTCTCTCTCTCTCTCTTCTTTCTTTTCTTTCTTTCTTTCTTTCTTTCTTCTTTCTTTCTTTCTTTCTTTCTTTCTCTCAGCTTTCCCTTTCTTTCTTTCTTTCTTTCTTCTCAGCTTCTTCTTTCTGTCTTTCTCTCAGCTTTCTTTCTTTCTTCTTCTTCTTTCTTCTTTCTTTCTTTCTTTCTTTCTTTCTTTCCCCCTTTCCTTTCTCTTTCTTTTCTTTCTTTCCATCTCTCAGCTTTCTTTCGTGGCCCAATAATCTTTCCTTTAATCTTCACCATCATTTAACTCTTACTCCCTTCCTCCTCCTCCCTCCTCCCTCCTCTCCCCTCCCTCCTCGCTCTATCGCCGTCTCTCTGTCTCTGTCCCGTGCCCTCTCTCTCCCTGTTTTTCGCTCTCCTTTTCACGCTCCCTCCTTCCTTATTATCACTCAATATCTCTTCAGTTTCACCCCCCTACCATTCACCTTGTCCGCAATCACTCTACACTTTAAGAGAAATTCATGTTTCAAACCAAACTCCAATCAGACTTTTATTTTACGAGATAGACGAGTAACAAGAAGGAACCTCAAGTGATCAAGTTACAAAATACCCCCCCATTACGTCCTAAATTTCGAAAAATATTAATTTCAGCGCTGATATCTGAAATTCTGTATACAAGTAGAACACTTTAAGAGTAATATGTGGCTGGAAACCAAACTCCAATCCGACTATTAGTTAACGAGATAGAAGAGATACAAGAAGGAACCTTAAGTGATCAAGTTACAAAATAACCCCCCAATACGTTCTAAATTTCAAAAAATATTTATTTCAGCGCTGCTATCTAAAATTCTGTATACAAGTAGAACTATTAATGAGAAATTCATGGCTGCAAACCAAACTCCGATCAGACTATTAGTTTACGAGATAAACGAGATACAAGAAGGAACCTCAAGTAATCAAGTTACAAAATACCCCCCCCATTACGTGCCAAATTTCGAAAAATATTAATTTCAACGCTGATATCTGAAATTCTCTATACAAGTAGAACACTTTAAGAGAAATTCATTGCAGCAAACCAAACTCCGATCAGACTATTAGTTTACGAGATAGAAGAGAAACAAAATGGGACCTAATCAGATCAAGTTACAAAATACCCCCTTATTACGTGCCAAATTTCGAAAAATATTAATTTTAAGCGCTGCTATCTGAAATTCTGGACACAAGTAGAACACTTTAAGAGAAATACATGGCTGCAAACAAATCTCCAATCAAACTATTAGTTTACGAGATAGACGAGAATAAAAGAGGAACCTCAACTGATCAAGTTACAAAATATCCCCCGATTATGTGCCAAATTTCGAAAAATATTAATTTCAACGCTGCTATCTGAAATTCTGTATACAAGTAGAACACTTTAAGAGAAATTCATTGCTGCAAACCAAACTCCAATGTGACTATTAGTTTACGAGATAAACGAGAAAAAAAAGGAAGCTCAACTGATCAAGTCACAAAAAAAAACCATTACGTGCCAAATTTTGAAAAATATTAATTTCAACGCTGATATCTGAAATTCTGTGTACAAGTAGAACAATTTTAGAGAAATTCATTGGTGCAAACCAAACTCGAATCAAACTATTATTTGACGAGATAGACGAGATACATGGCGGAATTTTAACTGATCAAGTAAAAAAATACCCCCCCATTACGTGCCAAATTTCGAAAAATATTAAATTCAACGCTGATATCTGAAAATCTGTATACAAGTAGAACACTTTAAGAGAAATTCATGTTTCAAACCAAACTCCAATCAGACTTTTATTTTACGAGATAGACGAGAAACAAGAAGGAACCTCAAGTGATCAAGTTACAAAATACCCCCCCCCTTACGTGCCGAATTTCGAAAAATATTAATTTCAGCGCTGATATCTGACATTCTGTATACAAGTAGAAAAAGTTAAAAGAAATTCTTTGTTGCTAACCAAACTCAAATCAGAATCTTAGTTTACGAGATAGACGAGATACAAGAAAAGATCGTAACTGATCAAGTTACAAAATACCCCCCCATTACGTCCTAAATTTCGAAAAATATTTATTTCAGCACTGTTATCTGAAATTCTGTATACAAGTAGAACACGTTAAGAGAAATTCATGGCTGCAACCAAACTCCAATGTGACTATTTGTTTACGAGATAGACAAGAAACAAAAAAGGAACCTCTACTGATGAAGTTACAAAATACCCCGCCATTACGTGCCAAATATTGGAAAATATTAATTCCAGCGCTGCTATCTAAAATTCTGTATACAAGTAGAACTATTTAAGAGAAATTCATTGGTGCAAACCAAACTCCAATCAGACTATTAGTTAACGAGATAAACGAGAAAAAAAGGAAGCTCAACTGATCAAGTCACAAAATATCCCCCGATTACGAGCCAAATTTCGAAAAATATTTATTTTACTGCTGCTATCAAAAACTCTGTATACAAGTTGAACACTTTAAGAGAAATACATGGCTGCAAACAAAACTCCAATCAGACTATTAGTTTACGAGATAGACAAGAAACAAGAAGGAACCTTAAGTGATCAAATTACAAAATACCCCCCCCCCCCTTATTACGTGCCAAATTTCAAAATATATTAATTTCAGCGCTGCTATCTGACATTCTGTTTACAAGTAGAACACTTTAAGAAAATTCATGGCTGCAAACCAAACTCCAATGTGACGATTAGTTTACGAGATAGACGAGATACAAGAAGGAATCTCAACTGATCAAGTTACAAAGAACCCCCCCATTACGTACCAAATTTCGAAAAATATTTATTTCAGCGCTGTTATCTGAAATTCTGTATACAAGTAGAACACTTTAACAGAAATTCATTGCTGCAAACCAAATTCCAATCAGCCTATTAGTTTAGGGGATAGACGAGAAAAGAAAGGAACCTAAACTATCAAGTTTAAAAATACCCCTCATTACATGCCAAATTTCGAAAAATACCATTTCAGTGCTGCTATCTGAAATTCTGTAGACAAGTAGAACTCTTTAAGAAAAATTCATAGCTGCAAACCAAACTCCAATCAGACTATTAGTTTACGAGATAGACGAGAAACAAAAGGAACCTCCACTGATTAAGTTAAAAAATATTGCCCCTTTACGTGCCAAATTTTGAAAAATATTTTTTCAAACGCTTCTATGTGATACTCTGCATACAAGTAGAACACTTTAAAATTTATTTAAATTTTCCTCACTATTCAAGAGAGATTATTGTCAAATTACCGCCTTGCAAAAGATGAGGCGTCAAAAATCGTTACGTCGCTGAGAACATTTTTCAGGTTTTCAGCGTGAAAGTAATATGTTGAGACCGCAAAGTGTGAAAGTGGCTTTTCGATTGTACTATCTTAGAGACTAAAACCTTAGATTTATAGACGAGTATACTGTACTTTTATTCACGTACAAAATGGTGTTTATAAACATTTCTTTCAATAAAACTGCATCACTCTTCAGTGCAGGAAATCGCAGAGTCAACCATTCATTTTTCATAAATTACTTTTTTCTTGTCACAAACAATGTACAAACTTTCAGAATTGCGTTGATGTGTCACAAAAGCTTTGTGTTATCTTTTTTTATCTGCCAGTTAGTCTGTACAACAGAATTTGCATGTCTGTCATAGCGACTCCCGTCTCTCAGGTCTACCCTTAATTTCGGTAATTTGAATCAATGAGGATAGAAATAATAATAATAATAATAATAATAATAATAATAATAATAATAATAATAAAAATTACACTGTAGATAACTGCAGCTACATGCATAAAAAGAGCCAAGAAATTCAAAATTTAAATTTACTTTTAGTTTACGAGATAAAACTTTAATCCAATGTGACCAGTAAATGTAAATCGCGACATGAAAACTCCAGTCTCCTCCTCATCGCTTCGCCTCTGTCCCTGAAGCGGTGCCGTGGGAGACGCCAGCTGCCACGCGGTGGCTAAAAATTGTACTAGTGTCGGAACATTTAACCTTAATACAGAAAGCAAAGGCAACACTATATCAAGTGTCCTTAAAATCGGAGTAGTGAATGAATCCTTCGCTATACTTTACGTAGTCTAAATCCTCTAGGTTGATTTCTGATTTAGGTTGTATGCTACGTATTACTCCCATGCTGGAAATATATTATTTTGTTGAAGAGTTATAGAACGGAACGAATCGCTTTTTATTATTTTATCATCAAACAACAGACTGAAGATTGAGACAAACGACAGTTTAGATGGCGTAGAGAAAAAAAAACTCTGCCTTCTTCGTGCAGCTGCAGTTAATTACACAAGTTGTCGGTACACAAGAAAAGTGACGCATCACAAAATTTGTCATTTTGCACAAAAATAGTTAAAACATGAGCAGAGTCATTAATTATGCGGTCAAAGACAAATTCTTTTACTCAATTTCGCGACTGATTTGGTAACTACTATTATGAAATATTTACTATCAAAATGGTACTTTCTACAAATATTTCTTCACCTAACTAAAAAATGACGAAATACGAGATGAGTAACCTTTATTGGACATCAGCGATATGAGGCGAAACTGCGACAAGAGATTTCGGATTGGCTCGCCAGTATAAGGACCGATCGGTATTCTTTCAAAAATAAAGTTTATATCTGGCTAGCCAATAGACGGACCAATTGCTACTCTTTAAACCTCCAACGGTATGAATCGGCTTGCGTAGTGATGGTCCAATCGCTATTCTTTAAAACACTGACAATATTAGGTTTCTAACTAGCTCGCCAGTAGATGGACCAATCGCTAGTATTCTTTCTAACACCGACGATACGGGGTTTCTAACAGGCTCGCCAACAGCAGAACCAATCGCTCCTCTTTAAAACACAAACGATATAAAGTTTCGAATCGGTCTGCCCAGAGATGGACCAATCACAATTCTTTCCCGCCCGCCCTCTTCCCAGCGCCACAACGAACGTTTTGCCGCAGCGAGGGGCTAACAGAGGCGAGGCGCCGAGACGCGACGCGCCGCGCCCAACGCCATCCTCCCCCGCGAGTCCTCCGCAAAGCAAACGAAAGTGGACACGCCCCCGCCCGCTCCGGAGCGCTGGGCTCGTTCGCTCGAAGCGGCTCGAACGTCACGGCCGCCGCAGCCGCAGCCGCAGCCGCCGCCGCCGCCGCCGCCCGCGCCGGGGGAAACACGCGGCGAACCTCCTTTGCCTCTCCATCGCAAGGCGCACGTGCTGATGGAGCTGATTCGAGAAAACGCTTTCTCGCTCGCTCACTCGCACGCAACTTCCAACTTGCGTTATTGGAGGCGCGTGGGTACATCAGGTTGCGTGTAAGATGGGGACGTACGAAACATTTTTGTGCGCATAATTTTTTAAAATTGTTTTTCATCGGTTCAACTGCAACAGAAAGGTTAAAGAATAGGGGTTCCAATGCAACGAGTGAGCAAAGAAAGTACACTAGCGCAAAATAAAATAATTATTTGCCGGTTAAATTTTGTAAAAGGAATTGAAGTCTACGTCAATACAAGCGGTCTGCAGGACTGGCAGTATGAGCCCCCCAGCCCCGAGTGAGATGTATGACAAATGATAATGATGATGATGATGATGATGATGAATGATGAAAATACTAATAAATATTTTAATTATTATAAATAAATGTAGTTTCTGAAGATACCACATTGATTTGGTATGGAAATGTACGTTCGGACTCGATACCAACGATATTTTCCCACAAAATGTGATGTATGCGCTTATTTGAAGAAACCAAGATGATCCCAATATTTGTTACTGCAACTCACAGATGTAGACATTAACTTGTGCGTAAAAATTGCCCAGAATACCTTCCAAATAAATAATTTAGTTTTTCATTATATCTAACAATTCCTGTTACAAAATATAGATCTACAAACATTTTTGCCTTGAACTTTCTAGTAGGACATAACTGTCTGAATGTGGTTTAGGATAGTCGATGAGGGGGCATACCATTGAAATAAACAACAAGAACCTTCAAAACCAGTGATTCTTGATGAGAGTTCCATTTTTATAAGATAAATCAATAAAAAAAACTTATTGATCAACACTCATTACAACAACTTGAAAGCGTCAAGGCCAAACTTTTGGTCCCTTTAACATACGTCAGTGTCATTCTAAATGAAAATATATTCTTTAATTTCTCCACAGCGAATTCTGTTCAATGAACAATTGATCCAACACACACTGGAGGTTCTAGTGAAGAATTTAGAGGTGAGTGCGAGTTTTAAGGCAAATAAACTGACGAAAAGAATTCTGTTGCCGCAAGAACCTTACGCATGCTCTATTAGGTACACCCGACCACGCGACACGCAAATATCATACTCGTGTTCCGGAATTCCAAAACTCGAGTGGAAACTCGAAAAAAGAGTGGCGAGCCTTTCGGGCGCCTAATCCAGCACCACCCGCCAAGGGATTATCACTTACCTTCAAGTGGTCGGAGCAGAACTGCCGGCTGCTGGGGTCTTTGGCGTCTTCTAGGACGACGCCTGCCCACACGACGGAGCCGTTGGCGATGGACTGCAGGTTCATGCGGCCGGGCACCGTGAGGTACGCCTCCATCTCCTCGGGGTTCTTGAACGCCATCGCTACGGACACACGCCTCACGTCACCCAAACACTCTGCCCGCGGTTTAGGGAAGATGTTGGGGGCAAATTTCACACCCAAGTCTTGGAACCCGCCTTCCAACACATCTCTTTCTGCCCGTAGAATGGTATTTTTTTTCTTACTACTGTACTATTATAAAGACACAAGCTACCAGAGAAGTGAAAGCCACTTAAAGGCCGGAGTTCGTTAAAGAACTTAATCGTCTGCCGTCTTTTAAAGCAATCGAAACGCGTTGTAAAATATATAGGACGAGTATTATATTCAAAGAAGTCCTCTATGCGTTTCAGTACTTTGAAGAAAAAAAGTGTTTTCTCATTTCATCAGTTTTTCTTACGAGAAGGTGGTATAACGGAAATTACTGGACGCCTCACGGAGATCACAAATGGAGAGCTTGGTTGGTTATAAAGAAAGGGGATGAGAGTGACATTTCACCACGTGAAATTGTTGGTAATTCTGGTGGTGACACTTGAAAACTGTTCCTTGTTACTGTTGGCAAGGCGCCCGTCGCGACCTGACCTGCCGTGGTCAATCGACGACCGAGCCAAAACGAGGCCATGACATTTAGAAAGATTGCAGTTTCCTCGGCAACATTTAAAGGAAACATTTCACAATTTCATAAAACATTTCACGGTCGGGTAAAACGAGAGACCTACGTAAGGACAGTTTATTCCCTAGGCGTATCACTGTTGCTATATCAGGGTGAGACATTAAGTCCGTTGAGGATATACCAATTTGAAGTTTGAAAACATCTAACAACACTTAATTTAATAAGAAATAAAGGAATTCTTGGAATAAAAAACAAATATGTCAAAGTTCAGAATATTACTTTAGCTGCAATTAGTCAATGTTCGTCGGCTAAGAACATGAAAGAATTCCTTATAACCTAATTCTTTCAGAGACATTACAGACAAGAAAAATCAATGACGAAAAAAAAATGTGCAAGGGAAGCAAGGACTCAAGGAAAGGAGACTGACCAGGGAAAAATACAATACATTAACGAATATTTTCAACATATATTTGTACTAAAGAATCTTTATTAAAATAAGGCAAGAGTACATGAGGAAGAGTCCTTAAATACCACGACCAATCTATTTATAATTCTTTCATCTCAAGCTTCCTCACATTATCAAGCCGTCCGTTTCCATAAAAGTGAAATGTATGTTAAATAAAAAGCTGTGTTATATTAATTCGCATTGAGAGTCTAATGTACTCGAAAGAGATGCCTCTGCATAAAAATCTAGGTTTTATTGCAATTAATTAAAACGAATAATAATTAACGTTATGAAATAAACAAATAAATAAAAGAAAGCTCTGATTCTCAGAGTTGGAAGGCGATGGGCGAAGTTTAAAACTGCCAAGGACGGCTCCTGCGGGCGGCGAGTTAGGTATAACTCTAAGATAACACAAATTCCAGGGTACGTTGGATCGACATTAAATACAACAAACAATGCATATTGTTCTGAAATGCAAACATCAGTAAAGGGAAATTTTTTTACCCTTGAAGCACGGTCAGGAGAGGTTGGGCAAGACTGGCAAGGTCGCAAGGAGCGTGAAGGTGGCACCACACATGCCGAGCAACCGCTCGCCGAATCCCGAGTGGTGTGGACGGGTTGCTTGCGATTCGCCGAGTGCCGAACATTCGGTATTCGCCCTACCCACCGGGTGTCGGTTTATAGGACACATCAAAGGGAGCGAACATTCGCCGACCACATCGGCTGTTAGGGATTGGGCGAGTAGTACTTCGCTGTTCTCGGCGAATGCCGAAGCGCTGTGGAGTCGCCTTCAGGATGGCCGAGGGCGAGAATGGTATGTGGTATGCGGGGCGAGCCGGGGCGTGGGCGCTCGCCCAGCGCACTCACTGTCAATGGTATCCCGTGTGAAGGCCATAGTCATGACGAGGGTGGGGGTGGAGGTGGGGCGAACGAGGGTCCGGGGAACCGAGGGTCGGGGGACCGAGGGTCGTATGTGGTGGCGGTGCTCGCCCAGCGCACTCACTGTCAATGGGCTTCCGCGCGAAGGCCATGGCCATGACGAGGGCGGCGCTGCGGTTGAAGGAGGCGGAGGCGTTGGCGCCGGGGCTCCACGCGATCTTCGCCACGCCGTTCGCCACCGCGTTCGTTTGCCTGCACCGCCCACCGCACGCTCATTGGCGACGCGCACTTTGGTCGTGGATCACTACGTCTACGTGAATAATGTCTAACATTTGAAGTCTAACGACACATGGTCTACTGGAAAAGGTTTACGAAATAAATGTCTACACGTTGCACTGGTTACATACATGAAAAAAAGTCTAATGCAAGTATGTCTACATGCAGAAATGTCTACCGGCGAAGGTGTCTACATGCACAGATGAATATAGCATATATGTCTACATACAAAAAGGATCTACGTTGGAAAGTTTGTTAGACTTGTTAATAAGTGTTACTATAAATGCATGCTGAACTCGAAAAATGTATCTTTAAAATATATGCAGTACATGAATGGAGCAGACTTTCATTAAAATCATGTATCAGATTCTTGTACTTCATCTGCTCGCAATTTCAGGCGATAACTTAATCCGTTCAAGTAGGCGAGTATTTCATTTCGTTGTCTATAGTCGTCATAGCGCAATACCATTACTTGAACTTGCTCTATATTGACAGAATATTTTAACAGAATACTCGTTAGACATTTCTATCAGTATTTTGTCTAGAAGACATTTAGCTGATAGACTGTGCTTGGTAGACACTTTTGTTGGTAGTCATTTTAGTTGCAGACATTTTTGTCGGTAGACGCTATGGGCGTTTAATCATGAGAATATAGCTGTAGATCATATTTTTATTATACATTTTTTTCTGTTAGACCTTAATACAATTAGACATTTTTCCTGTAGACCTACTGACCTTGAAGCCACACGTGCCCACAATTTGCGCTTTTAACTCGTAAGACAGAAAAGCAACACAGATGTTTTCATATGATTAATCATATGCAGGATATGTTACAAGAAATTAAACACTATTACAGATTATAACATCAATTATTTGTTTTGAACCCCACACTGTTTCGAAGTACGTACTAACTTCGATGCATTCATTTCTTTAATAATTTAAAACCAAAAAATTAATAACAAACTTACCGACTCATGGTATTTTCACAACAAAAAAATAGCCAAACCCCAACCACTTCTTCCTTCGTATACCTTTTCATTACAGTTAATTTAATTTAATGTTTAAAAATATTTTATTTTTAGCAGAATAGTGAATGAACAATTTTGTACAATTTTGAAAAATGCGCTGGATTGAAGTCAGGGCATAATTAAAGGAAGTGTAAAGTTCAAAAAAATAATCGATGTAATATTAATTTATGTAAATATATCGTATGTATGACCAATTTCGTGTATCAGCTTATATGTAACGCAGATAAGCAGACAAAAATGTAACAAATTAAGCAATGTAATATTTTATTTATCATATTCAAATCACTATTTAAAGCGCCATCTTCTAAATATCATTTAAATATTTCCTTATCAAATAATGATTACTAGGTGGGCCCGTAAGACCATTCCGCACTTCGTAAATCATTGCTTGACGAAAAAGGAAAAGGAGCTTCATACTGTAACCCAAGTGTGAACGGCCAGCCCCTCAACTGTTGTTTTATTACAAAATATCACGTAAATAAGCGGCGGAGGATATTTCAGTGACCCCCTGGAAGATGAAACGGGAAGTTCAGAAGGCTTCAATACTCAGAGGAGCGGAAACCCCAGTAATATATATATATATATATATATATATATATATATATATATATATATATATATATATATAACAGAAGAGTCCAACATTTTTTTGTTGCAAAAATTGCTACATCCAAACAATAATACCTTTTAAATTATTGTTTTAAAAAGTGAGCATAGCTTCACAATGGGACCCAACTTTCTTAGTTTCTGGCAGCGGGTGAATGCATCTTCCATAAATCCAATGAAACGTCCAAAAGGTTCTCATTTCAAGATTTACGTACATCATAAAAACAAAACTAGTTATACGGTCCTAGGTCGCATCGTATCCGAGCTACGGTCGTAAAGTGTAAATTCGTAATATGTTGCGCATTGCAAGTGCGCCTGATTTCTTAATTACGCCGTAATCTCCTAAGTTGTATGGATTTTGCCTTAAACGTCTTTCATACCCGAAAGGAAGGCCTGCCCGGCAGTAGTACACTTAAGAGGCTTTGTCGTTTCTTATAAACTGTCAAGTTTCTTCAGTGTATTATTCAAAGAGATATTATTCAAAGGGAGGACATTAACTAATACATGGAAGGAGAGTAAATTTCAAAAAGGACCTGATTATTTACTAGGAGTGATTTACTTTACGAATCACTTCTGAAAAGTGTCACAGTACGAAACTCTATTCTAGCACTTTCGAAAATCATTCGTTATTGTTTTCTTATAATGTAAATAGATATTTATGTAGGAATCTTTCTAAACAAGTGCACGGCATGTTCGAGATCTGTCAACTTACAAAAAGCATTTAAGACATTTCTTTACAAGACGAATACCGCCAGTGCAGAAAAAAAGAAATAAGAGCCACCAATGTTTCCTGCATCATTCAAATCTGTTAATAAGATGAAAACTCAATTTTACAGGAGAGAAACACCGCGGCCTCAAACTGACTTTGAGCCAACTTTACTCAACAGGGCTTTGCTTGAATAAAAGTATCTAATAAAATTATAAATTTAACGATGTTACCATGTATATAGAAGATTTTCTACTTATCTGAATTGAAATCTGAAAATATTGTAGATCTTACAACAGAGAGATCGAATATGTAACAGAAGCAACGTTTTCGCCCAAAATGCCAGAACCTTATACCGAGGTTGCGACATCTTGCTTTCACGTGATTATCCTATCTGTATATAATACGCTAAGCAAATATGACATTTGCGTACAACTTGTAAAACTATCAGCGCAAATCCCTATCAATATACACGAAACACAAATAAGACGAGAAATTATCGTAGTAGAAAACTACAGACGCGCATGCAACCCGCAACACACGTTCCGCTGCCACATGTTATCTTGCGTAACTTGAAAACGGTGCGCTCTAAGACCTAAAAACTGTTCTCTGTTTCTGAGTCACGACTAGCGCATTGCCTAGTAATTAACAAAATTAAACTTTTTTGGACGTCCCTTTACATTTTTTTAGGTTTAGCTGTTCTGGATATCTTCACTCCCTAGCTGAAATTTAAACTATTCGATGTTGGATTCTATCATGCTGTTATTTTCACATTTAAAACAATTATTTAATAAGTGCAGAATGTACGCACGTGTATACCAAATCGTGTAGCTTAAAAAACAGATAATTCAACTCAAATCATTTGAAGTAAATTACAAAAATCATTGTTATTAAGTGATATTAAGGCAGCACGACTCATATGGCTACAGTTTAAGATATTGTGATATTTTTCGTTATGTTGGAAAATACACTTGCTTCTTTTACTGAATAACCAGAAGGAATTTAAACGGTTTACATGAAAGCGCCAAATCTTATATTAGCTACATCTCCAAACCACACTCGTGTGGCACATCTCTCACCGATCCCTTCTACAGAACATCTCAATAAATGATATAACTTCTACAGCATATAGTTGAATATGACCACTTTCGTCAAATAACATGTGGGAAAATCTCTTAACTAAGTATCCCATGTTACGTTTGCCCCTGATTGGAAGAAAAAAACATCGTGCACTTGCGTTTGACAGATGCACATACTAGCGCCAATATATTTCGGGCACCTGCCGAACAGAAGTGCAAGATACATTACTACTAATCACGAGCAAATATCACAACTTCGTGAACTATAATTTCACACATGTCAATTGGAAAAAGTGGTCACCTCGACTCCCCTACACGTCCTAATGGAAAGATTTATTCTGAGACAGCTCAATATCTCATAAGCGTGAAATACTCACATGGCCGGCAGGTGCGTGAGGTTGAAGGTGGGGATGGGGCTGAAGGCCGGGTACGTGGTGACCGTGGAGATGTGCTCGGGCTCGACGAGCGACCGCACCACCACGATGAGGCACGAGAAGAGCACGGGTATGAGGATCTCGACGACCGTCTGCAGCGGGTGGCGCGCCTGCAGCTTCCAGTTCTTCCAGAGCAGCAGCCCCAGCTTGGAGCCCGTGCGGGACATGGCGGCGCCCAGGCGACGCCTGCGCCCCGGCCGGCTCCGCGGCGGCGGCCCGCACCCGCGCCCGCGCCCGCGCGCGCACCGCACCAGGCAGCACGGCTGGCCGCGCTCCTGCCGCCTGCGCCGCGCCTCCGCCGCCTGCGCACGCAACGAGGCAACGCACGTCAGGGAGAGAATGAGCGACAGTGAGTGAGTCAGGTGAGAGCGAGTGAATGAGTCAGTAGGTGAGAGCGAGTGAGTGAGTCAGAAAGTGAGAGCGAGTGAGTGAGTCAGTAAGTGAGAGCGAGTAAGAGAGTGAGCGAGTGAGTGAGTGAGAGAACGAGTGAGAGAGAGAGTGAGTGAGTGAGTGAGAGAGCGAGTGAGTGAGAGAGTGAGTGAGAGAGCGAGTGAGCGAGAGAGCGAGTGAGCGAGAGAGCGAGAGAGCGAGTGAGCGAGTGAGCGAGTGAGCGAGAGAGCGAGTGAGCGAGTGAGCAAGTGAGCGAGAGAGCGAGTGAGCGAGTGAGAGAGCGAGTGAGCGAGTGAGAGCGAGTGAGCGAGTGAGCGAGTGAGAGAGCGAGTGAGTGAATGGGAGTGTTTGATTGAGTGAATAAGTGAGTGAGTATTTGTTATTCCGGGCGCATCAACCACTAAGGTGATTGGTCCTGATGATATTTATTCTCACCAGCATGATACACGACCGTACTCAAAGCAGTAGTCGCTAATTGTCCAAAAATTAAAAAAATGTAAATATTAAAAACTTTCTCACTTTGCTAATTTGATAATTAACGCATTCACCATGCTGCTAATGTGACTGGAAATCAAGATCTTCCGAGCGGGGCACCGGGCAGAAGTATTATGATCTGCCTGCTTAGCAGTTTATTGCTAATCCAGATTCTTAATGCGTTTATTTATCATCGTACGTACGCATAGTAAAAAGGCGGAGTAAGGAGGAAAACATGCGCAGATTATACTTTTTCCCGAAAGTCACATACAATTTAGCATGTTTTTTTAATCAATCAAATCAAAAATTAAAATAAATCCAAGAAAAAATGAAACTTGAAAGCGTCAAGAGTAAATTAAACGTACTAATGACATATTTCGCTCATTTGGGGGCATTTGGGCATTTCCTCAGAACATGGCTCCAAGCGCGGTGCTAAGTTTGAATTAATTTGGCCGCCTGTCGCAACATCATTCATCACGTTAGGTAGCCTACCTTGCCAACTCCAAGGAGCTGCCATTGATGGAATTAAACACGAACTTAAAGTAAACCCTAAAACTTGATGCCATGCTATTTCAGAGAAGCATTCACAACTGTAAACGGGAAAGCAACTGGCACATAAACGTCAGACGTAGCCGTGAAGGTTCACAAGTTCCCAATAAGCTTGCGAACCTGGACGAAGAGACCCGCCCGTGGCGTGGCGCTACACAGCTATTGAGCGTCCCGCATATGGCCATGGGGTGGCGATTTCAAGGTTGTGAATTGATAGTGACAATCCAACCGTCGACTAAAACAATAAATCTATCATAATAGCATTATTACGATGGAATTTTGAACCGTTAAATTTAATTCTCTATTCACACACTGGAGGAGAAATCTAGCAGTCGGATGTTCTGATTGGTAATTTAGTGAAGTTTCTTCGACCATTGATGTGTGTCGGAGCAGTACCGGTATCCTAATAAAACGCCAAGGGTCGCGCGATATTTCCTTCCTCATCCTTGTCCTCTCCTCTCCTCTCCTCTTACACACACAGGTACACTTACATCATACAGTTACACTATCCCCACATTCAATAGTTAACGAAACTAATTTAAAGGTATTTCTACGTAAATGAGGGACTTAACTAACAACTTAAGTTTTTGAGCGATGCGTAAGTGATATATTGTAAAGTGAGGTGTCGGGCAGTGTAGAGCAGAGAAATAATTAAGGAAGTGATTTAAAGGTAATAGTGCAGTGCAATGCAGGGTGGTCTTAATTTAACGTTCAGTGCGGAGTTAGATTATAGAAGTTTATTTTCTTAAAGTAATTTAATGTTTTATGAAGTTAGTTTTTATATTATTATTATTATTATTATTATTATTATTATTATTATTATTATTTTGTTTATTCTCAAAGGTTTTTGGTTTTACATGGATACTACACAAACACAATATCAAAGAATGGTAACACAGACATATTGTTGTTATTATTATTATTATTATTATTATTAATCTTATCTGTTTCTATTGTTACTATGATTATTATTGTACTACTATTACATAATTTGCATGTTTGTTATATTATATTATTTACTGCCACCGGGTAATACCCAATTGCAGTTTCAATAATTTTTTTTTTTATGTCGGGAGCTTATTGATAGTCCCGGGTGAGGTGGTACCTTGCCGAGGAGAAACCTGGGGAGGGAGAACCCGAAACCCACCGACGGCGATCCCGCTTTATCAACAGGGGAGGAACACAGTTACGGCCCAGTGTTTAACTTGCACTACGATTAAAGAACTAAGGACATAAACTTTGGCGCGCCCAGAATAAATACTGACACTTATTCAACCCTAGGTGCGTCGATGCTCAAAGAGCGAAACATCAGGGAGATATTTTTAAAGCTTGGAAAAGAACCCTCGGTAAACGCTAAAGAAAAGTCAATACTTTCACACTGCCAGCAAATATCAATGACGCTAAAGAGAGGTAAAGAGTATTGATGGATGAAGAAAATGAAGACCGTTATTGGCACGGATCCGGGCGGAGACGGATTTAACGCTGACGTTGGGTGTCGGTAGGGTCCCAAATAAGACACTTCGTACAATGGTATCGATGTTGGACCAATGGGTTCGTTCCCGTATGCGCTGTCGTTCGAGGAAACACCACCATCACATCTTCCAAGAACGAGAACAACAAGAAAATAAGAACACGAGAAAGATTAACAAAAAATAAATAGAACAAAACGTGAATTATCAAGTACATTCCTTTCTTTATACTGCAGGGAAACAATTTTAGGTTCTCAATTTTTGCCGCTTGAGAAACGCACGCATTCCAGTCACGATACGTACGCTCTTTAAATGAACTCGAAAAGAAAGCAGCCAACAATCAACACGAGTAAGGAGAATTATCCATTATTTTGCAAATCGAATCTAAAAGTAGAAACATTGGAAGACAGTGGAGAAGCAGATGATGGGATAAGAAAATAAGGGAGAAAGAATAGGAGGTAATCTGGAAAAATAATACTCAACTGATGAAAGAATAATTTACGATGGATAAGGAGGAATTCAAGAGAGAGTGGGAGAGGGGAAAATAGATGTATGAAAAGTTAAAGAAGGGAATGTACAACCTACGAGGTGGGATGAGGAATTGGTAAAAGCTGGATGGTAGTGCAAAGGTGTTAGGGAGGCTGGAGAGCGAGAATGAATGTGGAAAGGAAGGGGGTAAGTAATATGATTTATAAATTAGAAGGATTGTTAGGAGAGAAAGAGAAAACAGGAAAAGGGACTATCTGATGAAAAAAGAGTATATTAATATTAAGGACATGGAAATGATTGGAAAACTTGTTGGAAGAAGCTTTGGGATAGAACAAATAGTGAGATAGGTGTAGTATGCAAGACGAAGATAGATTATAGAATTGGTGGTGACGGTAGTATAAAGTGGTGTAGTATTAAAGATGGAACAGAAGGAGTAAATATTCAGAAGGAAAGATGAAGGGAACGCAGGGGATAGACGATAGAAGAATCAGATGGATAAGACAGACGACATGGAACGAAAAACGCAAGAAAATTAAATAAAATCTTAATTAAAAAGCATTGTTACTGGAACACTCTGTGCAGGAATGCGAATAATGAAAAGCTGCTAGAAAGTGAAAGAAAAAAAAGAAAGAATAAAAGAAAGAAAAAAGAAAGAAAAAAAGAAAAAGGTAATTGGGTTGGGATCAGATCGCCAGGATTCAGATCTTCTTTCTTACTTTCAACTATCTCTTCTGCCTGCCCCCACCGTATACTCTTCCTTTTCTGTAATGTAGATAAATGACTACAAACTCAATGGGCAACTCTGCCTTCTTATAAGTCAAAGAACTTCTGATATTTTCTTCCACCAAAACTACACAGCTAGTTTCCTCACAAAAATCTAATTACATTGATACGCCATTTCTAACCTCATGATTTTCAGATAATCGTCTGAGTGGTTTAAGCGCTAGCATTGCTGACAAGGAGACGGACGGATGGACAATTGTTTTGCCACCAACCAATTTTTCTGTATCAAGAAGGAGTTACAATGAATTACCAAGAACACGAGAATTCTGACTGCATAACAAATTAGAGGAAGTAATTTAATATGTTTAGGAACAAACTTTATTTACTGTTTCGATATCCGGACTCCCAAATACGAGTTTTTCTTTGTCCAAAAGACGCTTATTTTGCTGTAGCTTTAGAATACGTTCTCTTTATTACGTAAATACGTAGTAAGACGAGAAAGTAAAAGTGAGATTATCTCTAAGCACTCTATTCTCTCTGCTATGGTTCCCCGTTTTTTGTTGACAGTGAGACTTTCTTCAGGTTCAATAGAAGGCCATGGAAATGCAACGTAGTTTATTGTCATCAATTTTTACGTGTATCACGTTTCATTTTGTAACCATATTTTTCATGTTTAGACAATATAGTTATTATAACAAGGCATTAATGTAGATTTGGATGTCAGTATTTTAATATTACTAATGTGAGTACCAAGTGAAAGATCAACTTTATCACTATTTGAAATCTGTAAACTTACTTTTAGTACTGGAGTATGGAATGATGATTATCGTCGATTTGCGTGGTGCGTGCTTAATTAGGTAGAGGCTGTTTGGATTGAAGTTAGGCCAGCAGGAAACAGGGAATTATGGGTAAAACGGGAAGGAAGGGGGAAGGTAAGGAACAAGGGGAGGGTAAGTAAAAATATCCAGAGAAAGTTTTCAGCTACGCATTATGATTTTCAATATTATCATACAATTTAGAAAATTGGTTGCTCTCAACTATTGAGTCAGTAGTCGGTATTAATTTTATATTCAGTCTCAGTCGCAGAAACGTTTCTGTTCATGATCAAATTATACTCAAGTACCCAAGTTAATATGATGATTTGTTCAATTCTGTGTTTTTCAATTGCTTTAGTTTCCTTTAAGTCTGCCCGATATAATTGAATGGGA